TAAATCACTGTAACCTTTGTGGCGCAGTGTCATATTAAATCACTGTTACCCACGTGACGCAGTATCATATTAAATCACTGCAACCCACGTGGCGCAGTGTCCTTTTAAATCACTGTAACCCACTTGGCCCAGTGGGTAGAGGCATTGTGTAGCCCTGTCTGCAGAGCGCACTATGAAAGGAATGAGCCAGCGTGGAGGTAAGTACTTTTTATAATGTTGTGTAGGTTTGTGCTTTAAGGCTGTGTAGGTAAGTTTGTTTTATAACATTGTGCAGGTAAGTGTGTTATAACTCTGCCGAACTAAGTGTCCCCGGCTTATTCACTAAACAATAAATAGCAGCGAGGCTGGAACAGGACGAGTCAGGGATGATCTAGTATTTGTATTATAAATATATTTATTCATTATTATTATAATTTTTATTTATAATAATTTTTATTATATTATTATTTATATTATTAATATATTTACTATGTATTATTATTTATAATTGTTTATATTTTATTATTATTTATATTTTATTATGATTTATATTATTTAATATTTATAATTGTTTATTTATTATTATTTTTATTATATTATTATTATTCTTCATATTTTATTATAATTTATTTTTATTATTTTTTTATTTATTATTATTTATAATTTATTATTGATTATTTTTTATATTTTATTATTTATTATTATTATTTTATCGATGTTCTGTTACCGCTGTTAGCGCTGTTTGTTGGTAAATAATCTTCATGGTGATAATAACTGTCTCACATTGCTATCGCTGTATCTTGGGCTCCCTCTGGTGGCCGGCTCTGGTATCGCTGTATCTCGGGCTCCCTCTGGTGGTCGGTATGGCTGTTTTTACAAAGACTCGATATGACTTTATTATTGTTACCACTCTCTCTACTGTTGCACCCTAAACCCTTTCATAAAGAACCCTACACTATCGGTACTGAGATTATACGAATGGATTACACAAATCATTATAAAGGACAATTCGTGGTACGAACGAGAGACCCCCCCAGACTTTGGCGTGTGCCGCCACTTAACCTCATCACCTCTCGAAGTACCGAATGACCAACCACCCGACGAGCAGAGTGTGTCGCTCATTAACCACCTAAGGCGCTGCGGTCTGCGATTAACCACAAACTAATTTACCGAATGGAAGCTGCCGAGAGACTCACGAACGGAGACCACCTACAGTTGGACGTGTGGCAGCAATTAGAATGTGGTTTCTGCGGTTAACCGCAGATCAAGTACCCCCCTACCGGGCGGTCCAAGTTCGTGTGCCGAACGGTCGGAACAACCAGACTGATAGCAGGGATTCGTATGACTATGTATCCGATTAACGGTTCATTCCACCATCCATTCGATAGCTCGGGTCCGGACACAGTAAGTATACGAATTGCGCCCAGAACCCACGAACGGAATGGGCGATTTCTGCCGTATAAAGTCTGGTTTGGCACTTTGGTCGTTAGTCCCTGATGGCGGACATGTTTTTAGGCTGTTCAATAGGCAGCAGGACCTCGACTCCACACTTATGGAACGGAAATCGGATACATAGTCATACGAATCCCCGCTATCAGTCTGGTTGTTCCGACCGTTCGGCACACGAACTGGGCCCGCCCGGTAGGGGGGTACTTGATCTGCGGTTAACCTCAGAAACCACATTCTAATTGCTGCCACACGTCCAACTGTAGGTGGTCTCCGTACGTGAGTCTCTCGGCAGCTTCCATTTGGTAAATTGTATACGAAGGTGGATCCTCTGGGCTCGTCAATTAGTTTGTGGTTAACCGCAGACCGCAATGGTTAATGAGCGACACACTCCGCTCGTCGGTGGTTGGTCATTCGGTACTTCGAGAGGTGATGAGGGTAAGTGGCGGCACAAGCCAAAGTCTGGGGGGTCTCTCGTTCGCACCACGAATTGTACTTTATAATGATTCGTGTAATCCATTCGTATAATCTCCGTACCGATAGCGTAGGGTTCTTTATGAAAGGGTTTAGGGTGCAACAGTAGCAGACGTGGTAACAATAATAAAGTCATATGGACTCTTTGAAACAGCTGTATCTCTGGCGCCCTCTGGTGGCCGGCTCCGGTATCGCTGTATCTCGGGCTCCCTCTGGTGGCCGGCTCGGGTATCGCTGTATCTCGGGCGCCCTCTGGTGGCTGGCTCTGGTATCGCTGTATCTCGGGCGCCCTCTGGTGGCCGGCT